AAGAGTGCGGTAGATTCAACGCAAGTCTACCATTACTTAAAACGGATCCACGCGCAAGTTCCCGTCCATGCATTATCACGCTGTGAAAGCACACCGTGGATCTCGTCGGAATCGACGATAATAGGAAGAGCCAGCAACCTTTATACGAATCTACCAAGTCATAAGAAATGGGTTACTCGAATTACCTCATTAGCAATCTAATCAGTGCTGTATCTCCGTCTCTTTGACATCTGACTCATGACCTCGGACTCTCTTCTGCACCCCAGGTAGCTCAACGGCACGACAAAAAGCCACTGCGAAATATGCGCAAGAAGCAGCGGGCCATTTTGAAGCGTTTTACAGAAACCATCCGCTCAAACCTCACTAAGATGCAACGTCTGAAGATGAATGGCCTCGTGGTCATTGAAGTCCACCAGAGGGACATCATTGAGAGGTTGTACAAAGTTGGCTGCAACGACACGACTGCCTTCGAGTGGTTGGCACAACTACGCTTCTACTGGGAGAAAGTGAGTCACTTCATTGATAATATGTTTAAATTCTAACTGCAACCCTTCCTTATGTGCTGGCCTCTGCACCCGAATTACTTGCATGATCACAAACATGCTACTATCTTGATTTCAATAGACCGTTTATTTACATTAAAGGAAAATCGGGTAAGAATTTCGTAGTGCACATGCAGTGAACGTGTGGTAGGCTGTTATTTCGCAAATGCCTCACCTTTTTCCCCATTCACCTTTCATTTTTCTTTTCATGCACTTTGCGCACTAATAAGACCGGTAACTATATTGCATCTTAACCACTTACGCCTACCTGTATCGTTTCAATTGTGTTTTTAAGGGTTTCTATCATTTACTCCAAATTTACTGACTGATGCTGTCTGAACTACAATTTCTGTGCTCCGGGTTAGGACGAGGATGATTGCTTTGCCAAACAAACCAACACCAGCTTCCGCTACGGATACGAGTACCTCGGAAATTCCGGACGGCTTGTCATTACCCCACTCACAGACAGATGCTACATCACCCTGACAACCGCACTTAGCCTCAATCGCGGTGGCTCCCCTAAGGGCCCGGCTGGTACCGGTAAGACGGAGACCACAAAGGACCTGGGCAAGTCACTTGGAGGCTATGTCATTGTCATCAACTGTTCCGACGGCCTTGACTACAAGTCCATGGGACGTATGTTCTCTGGCCTCGCCCAGACCGGAGCCTGGGGCTGCTTCGATGAGTTCAATCGGTGAGCATGCTATGACGAACTATGTGCCTTGGGTTTTACTAATTACTTGAACTGGGTGCATGCTTTATGCACATACAGTGGGGATGCTATCTCATAAAATCTCAACCGAAATTTCGAAATGAGTTTTTACTTAGAAAAAATCTACTTAAATAGAGATGTGCTATTAATTATTGTACAACATAATCCAAATATATCGCAGTCATTTCAGGAAGCCGACTTTCAAGTGGGCCTTTTTCTGACCCCCTAACAAAACAAGACTCTAATAAATGACTACTTAAATAATACGACGGTTTTAAAACGAATTTTCGATGCCACGATAAATTCAAACATATTTTATAGAGACCGCACGGAAAAATATTCTTTCTTGTACGAAGATGGTTGCAAATTACGACTTTTTTTACATTTTCTACTTGAAGAAAAGCGATCTTTTAGTTTTAGAATTATATATTTAGTTTCTGAGTAATGTGGACCCTAGCGTGCAGAAGTCAAATAATACTAATTCAATGTTGCAGTGCATAAGCAGCATTACCAAATGGACGGATGTGCTGCTTTATGAATGTAAATTTCATAAAAATTACATCATTAGCAACTTTTTCGAACCCGAAGGTGTTTTTTTTCAAGCATAACATTTAAGAGTACGTGATTTCTAATAAATGAGTAAAAGAAAGCAAATCTTCGTGCATACCTTTAACAAAATTTATTTGAATTTTTAAGGGCATCAAAAGGTCATTGAGAAAATATATACTACTTCAGTAACCTTTTACAGAGTTTATTTTTGTGGGCGTTCGGAGACTAGCTTGTTCAAAAATCCTATCTTCACTCGAGTGAAATATATTGGTATGACGCTGTACGATAATTAATATTAAAACCCTATCTAAGAAAACAAAGACGAAAACCAGGCGAGTTCATGTGCCGAAATGTATTTCTACGTACATTTTGAAGCCGGTAGGTCGAATTTCGTGCGTTGATACGGTTATAATACGAGGCAAGAGGCATTAAACCTCAACAGGAACAGCAACAGCATCAATCTGACGGTGGAAGCAAGCAAGTTTCCGAAAAGATAGCACGAACAAAATTAGACATACAAATTTCCTCCCCTTTCTTCTACCTTGGGGGACGGTGAACGCGAGAACTATGTATCTAGACATACAGTAGATGACCTAACTCATACAAAATGCCGAATGTACACTAAGATTTTGTGATAATTGGCAATCTTCCATCTGTTATATTTCTAAAATATGTATATCACGGGAATAATGGGTATAATACCCTGACGTTTTGAAAGCGTACAGGCTTGCATCGTCGGAGGTTGGTTTTATACACGCCTCACAGCATTTATAGGTGTTAAAATAACAACTCATCGGCTGTTCGTCTATTGGTACCGGGTGACCGGCGGGAGGGTTGACCTCAATCTTCGTCCTGCTGACCAGGGTTTCTCAGCCTCACCTCGTCGGAGGGGGAGGGCAGTGTCCGCCTGACAATGGTCATTGCTCTCGTTTGCATTGGGAGCGTCGGTTGTGCAGGTCCCGCGTGTCTTGCTCGCGTCCTCCGTTTGCACCTGCCCATGTTCGTCTCGCCGGTGGTTGCTGTGCTGAATGGATCCGACAAAGCAAAGGGAATGGCC